AGTTTCCCAGTTGAAACTATGGTTGAGTCTGTCCATGTGTTGTGAGATTAAGGAGTTTTTGTCTTGTCTTCTGACTTCTAGTTGGTGTTCATGGATGCGCTCTGCTGGTCTTCTGCCTGTCTGTCCTACAAAATGGCTGTTATAGTCCTTACGCTGTATGTTGTAGATAAAGAACCCAGTATATTTTAAAGAAATAATACTTCATCTATTTAGATAGATGAAGTCTTGTAATAGTAAAACATAATGTATTTTATATTCTTTTTTATTTTAGGTTACATTTATAATATATTATTTACAAGTTCAATTAATAATAATTGACATATATGGAATTTTTAACTATATCCAGGCAAAAATTGCATTTGGTTAAATGCATTGGTTTTTGTACCCTTTTATGAACCATGTTATGTTTATGTATTGGTAATATAATTTTGAACATTTATTGAAATATTCTATGAAAGACATTCGGTTCTTTTTAAAATTAAATTTCAGGTTATACGAAGCATTGTTACCTGTGGCTTGAGAGCACAATCCAGTCAGGCTACTGCAACATCACCAAAAAGCAAATCTGCTGCTGGGTATAGCTTTGGTATGTAAAAATACTTCATAAGGCTTTACATTAAGGTCCTACATTGGCAGCTTCTAGTACTACAAATCTAAATTGCTTCATATGTTATTATTTGCTACATACTATACGAGCATATGCAGGCATGTTCAGATACATCTACTTTTTCTTAAGAAAAATACATCAACTTAGGAAGAAAGGGATAAAATATTTGGGCAGGATAAACTGTGAAGGACAGAAGGGTTAAAATGTCCCTTCCTAGACATTTTATTTACTTGCATTCCCTAATGTGCATTACCTTCTGCAGCTAGTAGTGCTAAGTAGCATTTATAGTTTCTAGATAGAGTGGAAATCATTTGCAATGAAGACAATACATTTAATGAATTACTTGAAATGTTTCAAAACTGTACTTGGTTTTTGGACATTTACTATGTAAGGCAGAATCCTAAAACATGTTCCTTTAAGGTTTAGCAATAGAGCATGCCTATTTCCATATATATATGCAACATCATAAGTAACAGTTTTACCCATGACTTTTGATGAACAAGGAAAATTTGCATTGATATTGTGGGTGGAGAAAAGTAGTAAATGTATGTTTTAGTAAACTTGATATGGATGCATACACATAAGGATGATGGTGAAGAAAGAATTTCATGTAGATTAGTCTGCACATTTTCCCAAAATATAGAGAAATCTCAAGTATCTTAGGATATGTCGTGCCCTGCTAAATTTTCAGGAATATCTGAGGACTTGAACTCGAAATCTTATGTTTTCTAGAACTTACTGATGAACAGAAGGAATTTCAAGCTACAGCTCGAAAATTTGCTAGAGAGGAAATCATACCTGTTGCTGCCCAGTATGACCAAACTGGAGAGGTAGATATAATGAATAGAAAGAAAATACCATGTTTTAAATTTCAGTGAATGAGCCTTTCTAAGCAGAGAAGTTATGCATAACGTTTTTCATGTGTGTTGCCTTTTTAGTATCCTGTTCCTCTCATTAAAAAAGCATGGGAGCTTGGCTTAATGAATACACACATACCAGAGAGTTGCGGTAAGTAAATTAAAACCAAATAGTGAAATATTTTTATAGGCAAACAACTGCACTATGGATATTACAATACTATCTGAATTTGAAGAAAACTAGCATATGTGAGATAAGAACATGTCCTGATTTATATAATGTGTTACGGATGATATGTAAACATCTCTCTTTAGGCCTGGCAGATAACTTGTGAATTGACTTCACTGAATGGTATTCTGTTAACCTCAGACTGTTTCTCTCCTACCACAATTATTTAGACTAGAAAAGGATTCCTGATATTCTTTGATATCATATTTAAGTTGGAAGGATTCACATCTGAAAGATAGTATATTTATAATCTTTTTAATACCTGTAGAATTAAATCTGTTATATTTTGTGTATGTGTGTTAAGGGCAATATTCAGAGTAAATTAAATTAGCATATCTATTGGTTAGTGTAGAGACACTCCTTCTTTAGTGACTACCTCAGTTCATGACCATTCGCAAATACAACAGTAATAAATGGTAACAAATTCATTTTCAGACCAATGTGCACATTTATGACCAAATTTCAACAAAAGCCTGACCACGAAAGCCTTCAGTGTGAAACTAATTAAAGTCTGGTCAGTTTCAGGTAGCAGCAAGAAAGGGCTGGAGGGTTCTAATCAACTAATTAAGATCAAAGAGCTGAGCTTGTTAACTTGCCGTTAGCCTTTTTAGGGAAGTGCTATGCTGCAGAGAAAAGCAGCTCAGGAAGAGATAGCTTGTTTAAGCAATCTCTCCACTCTGCCGGAAGGCGGGGAGGAGTGGTCAGGCACAGGAGAATTTTATCTGAATGAGTGCAGCAACCAGTGATCTTCCCAGTGTCTCTCCCCCCCCCGCCAGTCACGTGTTCTCAAAGTCTCTGGAATGGATTGCGATTGCTAAATGAAGAGAGGGTGTAATAGGGCATAGAATAATTAACTTTGTGACATAATACTGATTTGTGTGGAATTGTTTGTTGTCCAAAACAATTTTTGTAGGTGGTCTTGGCCTTGGCACTTTTGATGCCTGCGTTATTACTGAAGAATTGGCTTATGGATGTACAGGGGTTCAGACAGCTGTTGAGGCAAATTCCCTAGGTGTAAGTGTTTTGTTTTAATTTTATTTATTTGTTTATTTAATCACATTATTTTAACATTGAAATTAGGGTATATCTTTCCATGTATTAAATAATAAACCTTTTTATTACAGCAAATGCCCGTCATAATTGCAGGAAATGAGCAACAGCAGAAAAAATATTTAGGAAGAATGACTGAAGAGCCCATTATGTGTGTAAGTGTTTTTTCAATATTGATGGAATGCTATTTTGATTTCTGTTGTGAAAAAAATCTCAAAATGCATATTAAAACCGGTGTATTTTCAGATCATTGAAGTTTACACACACACGCACATAT